AAATATTCACTCTGCAGCAGGATAATGAGCCCAAATCCACCTCAAAGCTGTGACCAGGATCCTAAAGAAGCAGAGACCATCATGGACTTTCCTTCACCGGAGCCTGAGCTGAACCCCATTCATCATATATGGAGGTAAACATGATGTGTGTGTTTACTTCTGAAGGCGACCAAGGAAGAGCCGCCGGGAGTCAAGTGGGAAAGCAAATTACATCAGATTGTGTGGATGTTATTCTGTGCCGACATGAACAACATTAACATGAGCCGGGATGTAAACGTCTTCTCTGCTCATTAACGTAAACATCAAGGCGGCAGCAGCTCCTCAAACCTCCTCCTCACACAAATCGTCCGACATGAAAGAATCACAGCAGCCTTCATTCATCCACCTGAGCCGAGGCACAATGCGAGGCTAAATGAGCTGTCACACTCACAGCTTCATTCAGCGGCTAAATTAGCAGCTCCGAGGATTCATCCTTCGAAAACCTGCTGCCAAAATCTAATCTGTCAACGTCAGCGAGCAGCGAGGAGCCCGAGAGGTTCACCGTCACCAACCGAAGGCCAGTCGAGAGCCAACGTCACCGCGTGCATTTATTATTTTGTTCAGTTTCTGTCCTATTTTGGTTGTTTTTGTCACATTAGAGCTGTTTTTATTATTATTTTTGGTCATCTTTGGTGTATTTTTCGATAGCTTGTCATCTTACTTTGGCAATTTTCATCATCCTGTTAGTTTTTAAAAAATATTTTTGATCATTTTGCATCTTGTTTTGGACCAGATTCTGTAAAAAAAAAAAAAAACGAAAAATTTGGAGCACCTCAGCACAAAAGAGAGTTCAAAGTAGACAAGAGAAAATAAAACGTACTGGATAAATGAAGCAAATGCATCACGGCTCAAAAGTGTGATAAAAAGGTGCACGTTGTTGTATGATACATGCATCACAGTGAAACATCTTTCTACAACTGATGTGCAGAGCGGAGTGAAAAAGGCTGTAGAGGCTGGAAAAATATGTAGAGTTTGTGGAGCCTCCATTTTTACTAACACCCGACATTTTATTGTCTTTTTATTGTCTTATTTTGTCCTCATACTTGTTTGAAAATCATTTTGGTCATTTATTGTGTGCCCACAGTTATTTTGTGGGACTTGTCTTTATGGTCATATAAGTGTCTCTTTTTATTTTTGCATCTTTGTCATTTTGTTCAATTTTTTTCTTTTTTTTTTTGCTAAATAAATGTCCTAAAATAGCCAAAACAAGACACAAATTGACCAAAATGATGTTAAAAACAACCACAAGATGATGAAGATGACCAAAAAAGACAAAAATCAAAAATCAAAAAAACCACACAAACTGTCGAAAAGAAGACATAAAATGTCTTGAACGGGACATTTCTGAGTTCTCTCTACTTCTAGTCATGATTGTTGTTTCCATAGAGGTGCAGGACTTTATATTGCACACAGTGAGGAAAACTCTTGACTTCCTGTGGTTTTCAATATAACATTAACTCTACATAGTTGTCAGCCAAGTGGCAGGAAGTTAGCTAGCTTAGCAAGCCGTTGTGGCTGGCTAGCGTTTGCACATCACCCGTTAACTTTCCAGCCACAGGAGCTGGCCAGGCTAGCTGCACCATGAAGCGCTGCATCCCTGAGCTTCCAGCAGCAGATCAGCGAGCGTCATTGCTGAGGACTGTGTGATCACAAATATCAGAGCAGTGTTTTCACTGGACAGCTCTCCTCCTCCATGATGGACGAGTGCAGATGTGAAGCGTTGACGTCACACACAGCAAATATTCACCCCGAAGCCAAACGATGTGTGCATTCTGCTTGATGCACTGATCACAGTTATTAATCACATTTATTTGTCTCCTCTTAGGAAATCATTACGAGACATCCAGCTGCTCCAGAGTCTGCTTCTGTCGAACTGCATCCTCATTCAATATGTTGCACCACAAGTCACTGCTGTGCATTCGCTCAGTGCAGCTTCAACCTCAAATCCAAACTTTCTGCAGATAGCAAACACATAACCCCAGGATCAATAACCTGGATGTTAACGCACGAGACTATCAATAACCTGAAAAATGTCACACAACAGTGTCAATACCTTGGATATTAACACACAAAACCATCGATACCCTGGATTTTACCGCACAAATGTAACAACAACGGGGACTTTAACACCGTAAACTATCAATAAAATATTGTACAAAACGATTAGCAACCTGGAAAATGTCGTGCAAAAATGTTGGTAACTGGGATTTTAACACACAAAACCATCAATGCTCTGTATACAACCACATAAAAGTAATAACAGCAGGGACATGAACACAGTAAACTATCAGTACCTTGGATATTACCACACAAAAGCAACAATGACCACGATATAAATACGCTAAACTGTCAATACTCTGGAAAATATTGTAGAAAACTATCCATAATCTGGATAATAACACACATGAGTATAAATAAGCAGGATATGAAAACACTAAACGATCATTAACCTGAAAAACGATGTACAAGAATGTCAATAATACAAAACTATGAACAACCTGTAATACATCTAACAGAAGTGTCAATAACCTGAATATTAACACAACAGAATATGAATGAAGACTCGATATTAATGCACAAAAGTATAAAAAATGTCATTTAGAACTTAATGCTGCTTTTCAAAAGATGTTTTTATTTTACAAACTAAGCTCCTTCTCCATTTGTGAAATTAACGAGCGCCACCATTAAAAAAATCAATTATATTATATAAATCATAAACAGATTTTTCATTCAGACCTGATCTACCTGCAAAGACGCCTCCTGCCTCGTCCTTCCATATTCCCCACAGTGGTTCCTGTGAGCGTTTTAATGCCGTTAATTACTCCTGTGTGATTAACACTTTGACACACAGGAGACACTTTGCTGCTGATTCTGTGCTACAAGCAGCTGAACTGAAGCTGAAGTGCTGGCGGGGGGAATTTAGTTTGTTGACTCTGTGGATCTTCTTTGTGTTTCTTTTTGTGCGTTTGTTATTTTGCCGTTCGTCTCCCCGTTAATCAGAAATAAAAAATTAAAAAACGCAGCGGTTGGGGATGATTCTTCTTATATTGTGTTTTCTGTCATTTTAATTCACTGTTTTCTTTTCATTTTACTACACGGTTAAGTTTAGATGAAAGTCTTTGAAGGTCTGCAGAAATGTTTGTGTGCAAAAAATGATAAAAATAAATGAATAATGTCCAAAATATTTTAGGGTTCGGGTTACAATTTGGGCAAAAATACACTAAACCTGTCCAGAATGACTCAAAAAATGTGCAAAATCTGTTTAAAATGCATGTATGACGAGTCAATACGTGTCTGGAATGAGTCAAAAACATCGAAAATTACCTTCAGCGTGCCTAAAAAGCTTTAAAAGATGTCCAAAATGATCTGAAATGTGTCAGAAATGAGCTAAATTTTGAGCAAAATAACCCGAAACCTTTTTAAAATGACACAAAAAGTCAAAAATAACTTAAGATTACTTAAAATTTGTGCACGATGATCTAGAATGATACAAAAACTGTCTAGAAATGACTTCAAATTTGTCCAAAAAGACCAAAAGATTCTCTAAAAATCATCTGAAACTTACTTACATTTTGTGCACAATTGAAATTGACTCAAAGCAGGTTGAGAACAACCCAAATGTGTCTAAAATGACTCTAAACTTTGTGCACAATAACTGGAAAGCTGCCGAGTATGATACAAAAAACGTCCAAAATGACTTAAAATGTGTGTGTGATGACTCAAAAACATCCAGAATTACTTTAGATTAGCCCAAATAGACAAAGGAGTTACTAAAATTACTCTTTAGGATAAAACAAAAATGTCCAACATGACTTAAAATTTGTTCAAAATTTCAAGAATTACCGTAACATTGGGCGCAATGACTCGAAAACTGACACAGACATTTCCAAAAATGACCGATAACCTACAACCTTCAGCCATTTCCCTCAGGTTTCCACCAAGGGGATCAATAAAGTTCTATTCTATTCTATCATTTGTCCAAAATGACAATAAATCTGTGCCTGATGACTCAAAACTTGTCGAGTGTGGTGATCTAAGTTGTTGCACCATCGTTGTGAAGCTTTGTTTAGTGTCTGTTCCAGTTGTTTTGGTGGCTGCTGGTGTTTTTCAGGCTTCCTGGTCTCCCTCACCCCCGTCCACGCCTCAGATTCATCAGTAATCAGCGCTGGATAAAGCCGGCCTCCACGTGGATTATTCTCCCCGAGTGGTGACTGTCCAGCCTGTGCGCTTTGAGAATCTTTGCTCTGTCTTCCTGTTATCTTGTCTGCGTTTTGCTACCAGAACCTCGCCGGCAGACCGACTCGTTCCTCGGCCCGGTTTCTGCAGCCGAACTCCAGCCTCAGCCGTTCTGCCTCCCCGTCCCTCTTGGAGCCTCTCCTGGATTTCCCTCCTTCAATCGGCTTCCCTCGCATGCTTCCCGGTGTCCCTCGTTTCCCTGCAGCCTGATTAAATCCCTCTTTTCTAACCATCGGTCCCTGAGTTGCATTTTTGGATCCCTACTAGACTGAACTCTTACATCAAGACGCCCAAAAGGACTTAAAATCAGTCGGAAAGTACATTTATTTTTTTTGCAGAATGATTTGAAATCTGTTTAAAATGGCATCAGAACGACTTCAAATTTGTGCACAATGTCATGAATGACACAGAGATCCTCAAAATAACTTCAAATGTGTCAAAAATCTCAGAAAAAAATGCCTGAAGTGGCTTAAAACTTGTTAAAAATGACAGAAATCTTGCGTGCAATGACTGAAAAGGCGTCCAGAATGATGAAAGCTCTTCCGTCCTGCTGCAGCGTAATACTGGAGCTGGTGGTGACGTCGCTTCTGTCTTCATCGAGCTGAACAAACAGAGCGGCTGAGAAAGTCAACAGATGAACAGCTACAGCCAGCAGAGGTGAGCTCCATCACTCTGCAGCCCTGAAGCCTCCTCTGACTCTTCTTCACCCCCTGAAACCGTCACACATCATGTCCGTGACAGGGGTCTCAACCTCTGGCCCACACACTGATTGAGGGCCACCGAGGGGTAGGAGGCAGCAGACGGTGAACAGGAAGTGATGTCGGATGTTGTGGCTCCTAATGAAACACATCTAAAGATGCGGCGAAGCAGTCAGAAGGTGGAGTCTGAGGATGACGATGGTGATGAAGATGACGGAGCTGCTGCCATGTAAAGTCAATGAAGCCAATAAAAAGAGTTCAGTTTGACCTGCTGCAGCCAATCAGACGTCCACATTTAGAG